AATTCATTTCTGCGTCTGACTCTTACACCCTCTTTTTCACCCTACATAGATATTTTAAGTTCATTAGACGCGTAGTTACAACAAACTACAATTATAAATTTTAGTATTATTGGAAGTACATGATAGACATTTTTACACAGGACGATAATATTAATTCACACAATATAAAAGTTAGCATCACGGGAATAGTTAGTTAGTGCACCAAAATAACTATAATTACTAAACAGAATATAAATGTATGTATACATATTAATCACTCCCTAAGTATTCCACTTGCTTTCTTTTGCGTTGTTGTTGTTTGTCTTCTTTTGTCTCTCACCATTTCAGCTTCCATTCAACTTTTGGAATGAGAATGAAGAATGTAGATATTTGCCCATTTACAATGACAAATGATCTGCAAACATTATTGGTCCCACATCTTACAATTCCCTCGTGAATCGCGCACTGCCTTCACCAACGATGCAATCTGGACTGCAGTTGTGAAATATACCTTTATATCAATAAAAAGTATTGATTTGTAATACTTCACGATTCTAACTTACAACATAACTGATCTTGTCTGCAAAAATAGCTTGCATTTCTTGAAAACACCCGTTTATAAGAAAATATAAACTGTCATTATTATTAGTCTACATTGAGTACAATTCACTTGTGATGTTACGAAGAAAATGCTGACAAAAGTATACAAGTGTATTACTTATTTTAAATTATTACCAAACTTGGATATAAATCAAGAATAAGATTCGATGCCGTACACACCAAAGTTATATGGAGGAATCACTTCAATCTTTATTTTTTTCCCAAGTATTTGTAATCCATCCAAAACATACTTGGGTTTTTCTGTTAATGCGAAGACAATATTTCTATATTTCTTGATGTGCTCCATTGAATGACTAGTTATCATATTGTTCCCATAGACACAATGACTGCAACCTTATAATTTTACCATGAACCAAATTTATGTAATTCCAAAAATACTTATCCATGCCAGTACAATTGGTGTGTCCTACACAGGTAGGAAAAATGTATTTTATTAAATTACTTTTATTAAATATGCTTACTAATCGTATATGTAATTTATCATATTGATGATGCCTGTAAACTGGCGTCCCTCATGTAAAAAATGAGAATATACTGTTATTTATTTATTTACTTATCTCAACCTATATTATCTACACTACAACCTATTATTATTACTATTCTACTTTTATGACTATACCGAATGACCAACGTGTGCTAGGTCAAACTCCATTCACGGCAGCAGCTGAGTCCTAACATACTGCACACTACAAACTACAATCTTGACCAATCGTCGCACCACTCCTCTTGGAGTCTACCAGAGCTAAAGCAGTCGAGTGGCGGGATTTACTACGCATAAGTTCATCGAATATCTGGAACCTCTACCTTACAATCAAGAAGCGAGCTCAAAGAAATCACTGGTTTATACTAGCTCGTAATCAGGATATTGGATATTGGAAGACTATTCCCTGTTAACAGGTCGATTCCTAAGTCGTTAAGTTCAGTTAATGATACTTCCATTAGCATATCTATGATGAAGTTAAACAGAAAAGGGGAAAGTGGACATTTTTGGCGGACACCACTGGTTGTTATCAATTCAGATGACAATTCCCCATAAGCCCTTACATGGCTACGTGAGTTTGAGTAGAGTGCCATGATTAGTGCAGTGTACTTTCTTGGCGCTCTCTTCACAGTCAAGCACTGCCATGATACCTCTCGATCCGCGGAGTCGAAGGCCGCCTTCAAGTCAAGAAATATGGCAATTGTTTGATACCTAAAATTGTGTCTATGCTCTAGGATCTGTCGAAGAGTGAAGATTTGATCTATGCACCCTCCACCTGGCCTAAAGCCCGCTTGATTTTCCCTCGTTTGTTCCTCCCGAGTTCGGCTTAGTCTGTGCAGGATTACTGTGCGTAGGATTTTAGAGACTATGTTCGTCAGGCTGATTCCTCTATGATTATCACATGAGGACTTGTCTCCCTTCTTGTGTAGGTATTAGCTCCCTCGTGGAAATCCCAGAATGATAGTTCATCAGAGGGTAAAGACCCGGGTGTGCTCCCACTTCTTTTCCCTGATGGTTCGCCGTCCCAGGAATTACTTACCGCCAGATGTATCTGTGAACGCCTTTAAGTGAAGGCTGGACAACCATACAGCAACACAAGGACTGCATCCAAATGGCCTATCCCCTTAAAATCCCATACACCAGGGGTAGACAATTAAACTGGTCGTTTTACTTCTTTACATTCTCTTCCGTCTTACTCTCCTGACAGCTTTAACTACACCTATTATTATTATCATTATTACCGATTTGTATATATTATTCATATTATTCTTCAAGTTTAATCAGCTGACTGTTGTTGCGTTTTCTTTATTTCGTTTTCTGTCTGTTAGTCTGAATACCTTCACTAATTATATCTATTATTATTATATCTTTTCTTTTTACGACGATACCGGAGGACTAACTGGTGAAAGGATCAACTCCATTAACAGTAGTAACAGTCTTAACACACCTCATACTACAAACCACATATAATTAATCCCAGCACTACTCCTTTTGGAGTCAACCAAAGCTACGACAGTCGAGTGGCGGGACGAGCTACACAGAAGTTCACCGAAGATCAGGAACCTCTACCTCACAATCAAGAGGCGAACACAAAGACATCAGACTAGTTTGGAGGTTGACGGTATCGACGTTCGCGAATTGTACGGAGTATACTAACGCAAGATTTTATAGCAACAACTTCTATACTATTGGTTTCTCTTGTACCGAAGTTAAAGCAAAAGACCAGATTTAGTCGTCCAAAGTACGAGATACATTTCGGGACCAAATTGTTGGCCGAAGTGAATGTTTGGGTGGCTAGTGATCGTGCATGCACGTGACACGACGGAGTACAAAATTTCAAGGATGCTTGACCGGAAGCATTCAGCTAAACAAATAGACTTAAACAGTGATGGTCAGCATCCAATGTTGAGTGATGATTGCTGTGGTCAATAATTTTGAGGAATTATTTACGGCTACACTAGTTTATGCTAGGTCGTAAAAACGATATGGGATATTGGATTCGGGCTCTTTTTTAACACGTGCGTTACAGTGTCTCAAAATCATGTAAGTCAGGCTCCAATATCCAATATCGTTTTTACGAGCTAGTATAAACCAGTCTGATTTCTTTGTGAGGTATAGGTTCCTGATCTTCGGTGAACTTCTGTGTAGCTCGTCCCGCCACTCGACTGTCGTAGCTTTGGTTGACTCCAAAAGGAGTAGTGCTGGGATTAATTATATGTGGTTTGTAGTATGAGGTGTGTTAAGACTGTTACTACTGTTAATGGAGTTGATCCTTTCACCAGTTAGTCCTCCGGTATCGTCGTAAAAAGAAAAGATATAATAATAATAATAGATATAATTAGTGAAGGTATTCAGACTAACAGACAGAAAACGAAATAAAGAAAACGCAACAACAGTCAGCTGATTAAACTTGAAGAATAATATGAATAATATATACAAATCAGTAATAATGATAATAATAATAGGTGTAGTTAAAGCTGTCAGGAGAGTAAGACGGAAGAGAATGTAAAGAAGTAAAACGACCAGTTTAATTGTCTACCCCTGGTGTATGGGATTTTAAGGGGATAGGCCATTTGGATGCAGTCCTTGTGTTGCTGTATGGTTGTCCAGCCTTCACTTAAAGGCGTTCACAGACGGTGCCTTGTAGTTAAGAATATCACGGAGATCCAAAGCAGTGCTGAAGAAATGTTTCGCTTAAAAGCACTTATCTTCGGTGACTTACTATAGTGTAGACGAGTTCGGACAGAAATGTTTTAATAGAAAATAAGAGCATATATTAACTCATGTAATCTGAATGTTAAAATCAAGGCCATTTGACTTTGGTGTCTATTGTTTACTCTTGCCATTTAATTTACTACCATGATTTCGTACTAGTCTATATAAAATGTGTTCTGCATTTATTTTATGACAAATGTTATAGAATACTGGTTGGTTGAGCATCTTAAAGGTCTATCTAGTCCATTGCAAGATTCCTGGAAGGTCATGGGGCGCAAATACAAGCAAGTATGTGTTGTGTATACGTGTCATGCTTACTCATGGTCGAAGTTCAGAAAGAAAGAGTTAAGTCTTATTACAGAACAAGCGGAATAACGGTAGTTTATTTCAACCTCACTTTAAATTCAATAATTTTGAGTCTCAAGAAGTACTACTGTTTGCTATCATAAAAGGAGTAGTTGCGGTTGTTTGCATCAACAAGCGATTCAACCCTACAAATTAACAGAACATAGGAGATGGCATATACATACATTTGAAACAGCTAATTCCCTTTATGAGGCTCAACAAAACGATAGGAAGAGGTAACTTATCTGAGTAGTGTGATGAAATTGAGGAGCACATTTTGGACATTCTGACCACACATACTTATCATAGGAATTGATATGGAAATAATAGGGCGTTAGCTGATGAAGTATAAAGGCTATATAAACAGTCAAAATAACAGTGGTCAGTATACCGAGGAAGGAAGCTAAAAGTACATGTGTCCTGATATTAAGACAAAATTTATCAGGAAGGCTTAATGTGATGAAAATATACTTATGAAAACATAAAGCTGATTTAAACTTCGTGATCGTTGGAGCTTTCCCAAACGTTTCTGATACTCTCGCAGCAAATTTTATGAATGACTAGTTTCGACGTGGAGCTTTGCACTAATGTGCAGCAGTTCAAGTTGCCCAACTGCCTTCATGTAGCACGCAAAGCAAGAGAAGAGTGAAAAGAGATTCGAACCAGATAATAGACAGAGATATGAGGCACAAAGAATGGTAATATGGAAGAACCATATAGTTTTGTCGCATATTATAAGTCACAAGAAGTGGATGCATCTGCGTCATTGAGAACGATTTTGAACAATGTCACCAATTGTTTCCAGCCGTAATTGTTCCACAAGATTTAGCCCTCCTAAAGCCATGTTGTGCTTCATGGAGTATGTAGTTCTTATGAAGGTGCTGCCTGATATGGTCGTCAATCAGGCTTTCCAACAGTTTCGATACCACTGGAAGTAGTGCTACTCGTCGTGTTTTGCAGTTCCTTAACTTTGAAGATGGGAAGAAAGATGGCTCTCTTCCACTTGTCTGGCAGTTTTTCTGAATCGATGGTGTGTTGCGACAGACCACATAAAGGCCTGCACATAGCCTCAACGTTCTGTTTCAGAATATATGGTGGAATGTAGTCACAACCTGGGTGCTTCTACAGTTTTTCTAATGTGTTGCAGTGGGCCCACTAGGTTTTAACTTGGTAGTTATCTGTCGAAATCTGAACCTAGCGTTTCAGCCATTTCCAAAGAGTAATACTTTAACCCCTTAAACGTCCTAGGGTGGGTTTTGTCTCCAACATGAATCATTGTAAACTTTCAGAGTTTTTTGCCAAGATTTGCCTGAAATAACCTCCTGTCACTTAGGACCCTTGGTTTCTATGTACACCTCGTGGTTAGTTTGACTTCTAGAGATTTAGCATGTGAACCAGGCTTTTTGCTTGACTTGTAGAATACTCTGTGTGGTTCTCTTCAACCGTGCAGATTGCTTCTCAGAGTGTATTGTGACTGGAGAGATGGGACTTGAAATTATGGTGCGTAAGCATGATACAGGTTCTATTTGCTTTCCATGGCCTCTTAGGAATCTTAACATGTTATGGGATTACACATAGACGTCTAAGATGCTCAGTCAACCATTATTCCATGACATATATCATAGAATAAATGCAGAACGTGTTTTATGTGAATAAGAATGAATTTAAGGCAATAGGTATGACGAAATGAGGTTTTATTGTAGACATGTTGTTTTAGCAATTGTTCATTAACGAAAGACGTCAGAATATCAAAGCAAAATAACAAGAGAAGGATGGATCCTTGCAAACATTCAAAGTGGTATATACAACATTGGGGTGCATAAAACTAGTTTATGCGGATCTAGCTAATGGATTTCAGTATGCAAAGTAACATCATGATGTTTCGACCATTTATTTTAGAAATTCACATTTCACGGTATAATTTTCACTGTATAAACTAACTTTGCTCATGGACATTTAGTCAGCCACTTTTCAACTGATAGATTGAGCTGCCTTCAGCTATATAGACTTTTGCACTGGGGGATATAGTTTTGCTTGTTCAACCTCAATTACCCAGGCTAGAAACCAAACTTATCGTGTGTGGGCGCGTAAGGGTGTGTGTGCTGATGATACTACTATGCAGTTACTCATGTTAATGAAGTAGGTGGAGTGAGACTCGAACCCGTGATACGTTGGTCAAAAACCTAATGCTTAAGCCAATGGAACCACATAATCTTATTAACACATATATGGCTTAAGAGGTTAGTTACTTTTTGTTAATTTTTTTATATAATCAGGCGTATTACTTCATTGCGTCATTTTAAGTTTATTGGTTGGAGGATTTCATCATGAGCTGACATCACTTAGAAAACCATTGGAAAACCTGTTGGGAGCACTGGACAACTGTTTCGTCAGCTTAGTTTGGGATTCTGCATCAGGAGTATGCACCCACCCACCGACCGGTGTTCGAACCCAAGACCTGGTTACAAAACCAGCGATCTCGTAGACCATTAAGCCACTGGGACGCGATCCGATGGCCAGTCCATGAATTGTAACTTCTGCCAATTCATGGTATAGCACGACCACTTCGTAATGTGTTCTTTGATGAGTTATTGCCTCGCCTTTAACCTGCTTTACCCTACTGGTTCCATTAGAAGGTCTTGGGTTCGAATCCTGTCGGTTGGTGTGTACTGGTGAAGAGCCCCATTCCAGGACGAAATAGCTATCCAGTACTCCCAGCAGGTTTTCCAATGGTTCTCTAACTGATATCAGCTCATTATGAAATCCTCCAACTAATCAAACATAATTCCCTACCAAACCAATACTTGAAAATTTCAAGTTAACACTAATAATTATAATATTAAGCAGTAATCTAAAATCTACTATAATTTGTGTTCTGAACAGTTCATCAAGTTTGATTTCGACCAAGTTACACAGATATGTTTAGAAGCATTACAAAATCTCTACTGAAAACTCTTAAGAGTATGCCGTATCGTGAAATAAATTCATCAGCAGATGATATAAATCAGGTTGGTTTAAAGAATTCACCTTATTGTTTTGATATTAATCTCTTTTCTGGAACTTTTAGATAGTTTTGCTTGGTAGAGTTAATTCTATTCATTTAACTGAAAATGCTGACAAAGCCTATGTTTCTATTGGTTTAACAACTAAAAATACCTACAAGACTTCAAGTGGATACTCATCATCATATGCATATCATAAGTAGGTATAAATTTTGCATCTTTACTGTCTATCTTCCATTCATTCAGTTTAAACAGCTTTTTTTTTGGTGTGTTACTGATGGATACCATTACTTTTGATCTAATTGTCAATCTATGGCAGCTCTTGGTATACTGTGTGCTATTTTTTTTCTTCAGAGTTGCTGTTATTCCTAAGGTAGCTATCGCCTCTTGCTGGAATACTTTTATTAAGTTTTCCTTTCTACCTGATGATTCTTTTTCATACCGTCTTATATTATATCTCCCATACGTATTGTGAATGCATTGAGGTAGATATTCAAACGAAAGCCTTCGTTTTTTTCTACTTCTCCCACTTGGTGTGTATTTTTTGGTTTTTGCCCTAGGCTGGTTTCTGTTGATCAGGTTTAAGTCTATATAGCTGGTAATACTGAAGGAATACCCTTTTTAGATACACACTGTCGAGAAATTCCTTGCTTTCATATGGCGTGTGTGTTTGTCTGTAATTCACGTGACTGTATTGAAGCGTATGCTAGAAAAAAGGAAGATGAAATTACCATTTTCTTGCACTATCGAAACGAGACTTTGTGTTTTCCCGCCTTCACAACAGGGGTACGATAATGACTGGTTTTTAGTTTTTTTAAATATGCCTATAGGCATTTCACTCGGTCCTATGCCTTTAAAGATATTAAGATGGAAGTCATTTGGTTTAAAGATGGCATAATCTTTCTTTCTCTCTCTCTCTCTCTCTCCATACTTCTACTCATTTTATCGGGCTAGACCCTGCTATTGATCGAAAAAGCGAGGGTTAGCAACAGATCAAGTTTTTAGTGTTACAATCAGCATTACAGACGCGTTTGAACATTGTCTGTTGTTGTGTCATCCTATGTACGCATTTGATTTTTGTCCCTCTGATGTTCTTTTTCGGGTAGCGGGGGGTGAGGGTGAGGGTAGGGGTTGGTGCGAGAGCTGACCACCATCCCCTAACTCTTTTCCAGTCTAATTCTCAATCATGTAACGTTGCTGATGAAGAGGAAGGCAGTTGTTCAGCATGTTAAACATGTACTCTAGCTATCTCACTCGATACAACTTTGCAACTTCATTGATTGGATGATTCACCTTCCTCCTTATCTAACACTCTACGCTTAACCTCAACATATTACTCGGCCTATTATACCACACTGTACACAGTAGATAAAAAGTGAACATCTGTGTAATCAAAAGATAACTATGCTCCACTTTCAATTCCCGTGTCTCATTAGCCATAAATTGAGCTGCTGCACAGTTTAATGGATGACTGAATAAATGAATATATCAGGTCTACGCTAGAGAGTTGACCGTTAGTTGGTAAACGCGTTAAGCAGCGCCTTTTGTCTGCGTGCTGAGATTTCGTCAAAAAACCAGCTAATTAGTGCTGTTCACCACTTGTAAACTAAGTGAAGTAGGCGAAACTCTGTACCCCACTTCACTTCCTATCTATAAACTATAAAAAGTTACTTTAAAGATAGCACCAGTTGAAACATACATATTACGAACACAGTATTCAGCGAAAAAGCTCTTTTCAACCAATTTATTATCAATCTGTACAATCGTACATATATGGCTTTTAAGAAATTATATCCGGTGAGGGAATCCGATCAAATGTGTGAATATATGAAATAATAATATTCGTATGCAATGCAATTAAAATGTTTTTGTGATAATAATCATAGTTAAATGTCAAGTAGCAAAACAATCAATGTCATATAGAGAATAATCACTGAAAATACCCATTGAGTCATGAAGAAAATAAAAGACAGTTTCAGCGAAGAAAATTTTCTTTATCGACGAAATCATTTTCAGAGGCTGTACAATCGTATTTATACTTACAAAAATATATAGTGGTCTATTATTGAGTAATAGGGGGTGACATAATTGATATCATTACTCAGAAGTGGCTTTAGAAGTGAAAATTAGAAGTTGAAAATTACGTGGTACTCAACGGCAAAAAGATAGAAATTTGATAAGGTTAAAATTGCTATTAAGTGAGAATAAAGGTATTTCAGTGTCAATTTAACAAGTGTGAAGAGGGTGTGAAAATATACAAAAGGAGCATATGAGAGTGATAATAGTGAATTAATTATTAAAGCAAAAGCTAACTAAAAGTGAAAGTAGAATGAAAAGAAAAAATCAAAAAATATTTTATTTACAAGGAACGATTAGTGAAGAGGTTAAGACCAAGGTAGAATAAGAGACTGGACAAACTTTTTCTGTATACAGAGTTCAGGACTGTATTGATGAATTGCTAGAGCCTCCGCCATACACAAAAGCCGAAACCTGACGCCCTTTGTACCATTTGGCTTCACTTTGTAGGTGATCTTGAAAGACGATTCTGGTAGAGCTACGTGGCCTGAGTTCACCAAATGCTCAAGAATTGAGCTAGTAATTGTCTTACATTGTCCCTTTGCTAACCATGCCGGATAATGCTCAGAGATGCGTTTGGAAAGCGTGCGCTTTGTGTGGCCAATATAACTAGCTCCACACGAGCAAGTGAATTTATAAACACACATTGAGGTGGCCCAAAGCGGCAGTTTATCCTTCACACATCCATTGATCATTTGTCGGCTGATCCGTAACTCAGCCACAAAGAAGTCTTTTCTCAGTGATCTGCAAAAGTGATTCTTCAAGATCTCAGCTGCGGTATCACCTTTGAATTCAACACTCATAAATATCAGTTTCATCGGCCTCATCTGGGTTCTTTCAAGCTTTTGCCTTAACTTCATGTTCTTCTCGATAAATCTTGGAGGATATCCATTCTCTATGAGGACTTGTCTGAGTCGCTCCAGTTCCCCAACGATTGTATCACTTGAACATATCCTCCTTATTCTTGAGGATAAGGAATGGATCAGATTTCTCTTTGTTCTCAAAGGGACCCAACTATGGAAATTTGTGTACTGACCATTCCATGTTGGTTTCCTGTAGATCGATCTTTGCAGAGAACCATCAGATCTCCTCTTTAGAAAAACATCCAAAAAATGGAATTCCGAGTTAATCTCTGATTCCGACGTGAACTTGATGGCATGATGGCAGCTGTTGAACTCTTTAGTTATCAATTCGATGTCGGTATTGTCGTCACATATGATGAAAGTATCATCAATGTATCTTTGGTACAGCTGGAAGCTGTAGATAGTAGGCCGTAAAATATTATTCTCCAAACTGGCCAAGAAGCCGTCTGCAAGTAAAGGACCCCATGGTAATAGCAATTTTAACCTTATCAAATTTCTATCTTTTTGCCGTTGAGTACCACGTAATTTTCAACTTCTAATTTTCACTTCTAAAGCCACTTCTGAGTAATGATATCAATTATGTCACCCCCTATTACTCAATAATAGACCACTATATATTTTTGTAAGTATAAATACGATTGTACAGCCTCTGAAGATGATTTCGTCGATATAGAGAATAATACATAAGGTACACATATATATGTTGGAAAGAGGTGTATAATTGCAGGATTAGTAGGCGAATATAAAATGATATATAACATGGTATGAAATTCAATGAGATAGAATTCAGTATTGTAAAAATAAAATAATAAATAATTTTGGATTTAGAATGACAAGTGGGACAAGTGGAAGCAATTCAAAGTGAGAATAGTAATCATAATAATAATAACCGTAGTAATAACGGAAAAAAAATTAAAAAAAACCGTAGTAATAACGGAAAGGTACACAGAATAACTAAATAAACAAAATAAATAAATGTCAATCCCTCCACGACCAAGAGAGAAGTAGGGATTTCAAGATCATCTACCGAATCCATGCTAACTTGCCGCGTTTTCTCCGTTACAGACTTCTAAAGACAGTGGAGGCCTTGGCAATTCATGACTTTAAGCTAGACCTTTGTGTACAAAAGAAATATGTGCAATCCCTACTTCTGCCTTGGTCGTGGAAGGATTGACATTTATTTATTTTGTTTATTTAGTTATTCTGTGTACCTTTCCGTTATTACTACGATTATTATTATTATTATTCTCACTCTGAATTGCTTCCACTTGTCATTCTAAATCCAAAATTATTTATTACTTTATTTTTACAATACTGAATTCTATCTCATTGAATTTCATACCATGTTATATATCATTTTATATTCGCCTACTAATCCTATAATTATGTACCTCTTTCCGAAATCTATACACCTTATGTATTATTTAGAACAACACATTTAAGCGAACAATATTGTTTTCAATTAGATCTCATCAGGCTTAACTCTAATATATATAAGTTTACAAATAAAATTCAAATATAAACCAATCATGGTGTTTTGTCTATAGGATAATACGATGGTGAATATAAATTGTTCAATTAGTCATAATAGTAGTAATGATAATAATAATTATAATAATAATAGAAATGGTCTTATCAATAATAAGGATGAAAAAGTGAGGCAATCTGTTATAACACGAATAATGAAAAACAGCATGATTAAACAAACAACTGTTCAGGTGGAAGTAGTCGATAAAGGCTAGTAAAAACAAATGAACCGATTAAGTAATGTTAGATTGTAAGGGAAGGAAATGAAACACGTTTATAATGAAGATAAGATTAAGGGATGATAAGAAAAGGGATGAAAATACAAACAAAGGGTGGTGTAGAAGTGATTAGTTGGTTACGTCTTAATAGGCCAAGGGAGGGATAAACGTTGTACGAACTTTTTTGAATACATAATTTAGGTTTAATAGTTCGATTGCCTATTGCCTCAGCTGTGTGTAGTAGACGAATACGAAGTCTATTGGAAAGATTCGGTGGGATACGATGAATCACTTTGAACGCTCTCGTTTTCTCGATTACATGACCACTATCAATTAAGTGTGACAAAATTGAGCTACGGATTGTTTTTGTCTGTCCTTTGCCAAACCACGATGGGAGATGTTCACTAACACGTTGGCTAAGCTGTCAAGTAGTACGCCCAATATAACTGTCACCGCAGGTGCAGTTGAATTGATAAATACACATAGATGTGGCAAAACTATCAAGCTTATCCTTC